AAACCCGGTTTTTTTTTTTTAAATTTAATAATCCCTTTTAAATTAAAATAACAAATAGGCAAATTTGTTTTTTTTTTTTTTTTTTTTTTTTTTGTTGTGGGTGGGGTGGTGGTTGTTATTTTAAAGATAAATTAACTTATCTCATAAGGTAGGATGCTGGTGTCCATTCCGAGGATAACCTGTTATCTGTTACCACAGAGTGTTGGTACATTATGAAGTTTTGAACCGTGTTAGTAGGTCATTACCGGTTAAGCTACAGATGTAACTTTCTCATGACTCAAATGAATATTGTCGAGTTCGATTGTTCGATGTCATCTAAATGACAAAAATTCTAAAGTAGTTTGACAAAAGTTCATTATTTGGTTGACTGAAAGGTGATATTTGGTTGACTTAAAGGTTATATTTGGTTGACTGAAAGGTGAGATTTGGTTGACTGAAAGGTTATATTTGGTTGACTGAAAGGTGATATTTGGTTGACTGAAAGGTGATATTTGGTTGACTGAAAGGTGATATTTTGTTGACTGAAAGGTTATATTTGGTTGACTGAAAGGTGATATTTGGTTGACTGAAAGGTGATATTTGGTTGACTGAAAGGTGATATTTGGTTGACTGAAAGGTGATATTTGGTTGACTGAAAGGTTATATTTGGTTGACTGAAAGGTGATATTTGGTTGACTGAAAGGTGATTTTTGGTTGTCTGAAAGGTGATATTTGATTGACTGAAAGGTGATATTTGGTTGACTGAAAGGTGATATTTGGTTGACGGAAAGGTGATATTTGGTTTACTGAAAGGTTATATTTTGTTGACTAAAAGGTTATATTTGGTTGACTGAAAGGTTATATTTGGTTGACTGAAAGGTGATATTTGGTTGACTGAAAGGTGATATTTGGTTGACGGAAAGGTTATATTTGGTTGACTGAAAGGTGATATTTGGTTGACTGAAAGGTGATATTTGGTTGACTGAAAGGTTATATTTGGTTGACTGAAAGGTGAGATTTGGTTGACTGAAAGGTTATATTTGGTTGACTGAAAGGTTATATTTGGTTGACTGAAAGGTGATATTTGATTGACTGAAAGGTGATATTTGGTTGACTGAAAGGTGATATTTGGTTGACTTAAAGGTTATATTTGGTTGACTGAAAGGTGAAATTTGGTTGACTGAAAGGTTATATTTGGTTGACTGAAAGGTTATATTTGGTTGACTTAAAGGTTATATTTGGTTGACTGAAAGGTGATATTTGGTTGACTGAAAGGTGATATTTGGTTGACTGAAAGGTTATATTTGGTTGTCTGAAAGGTGAGATTTGGTTGACTGAAAGGTGATATTTGGTTGACTGAAAGGTGATATTTGGTTGACTGAAAGGTGGTATTTGGTTGACTGAAAGGTGATGTTTGGTTGACTGAAAGGTGATATTTGGTTGATTGAAAGGTCATTTTGGTTGACTTAAACTTAAAGGTCATATTTGGTTGACTGAAAGGTCATTTTGGTTGACTGAAAGGTCATATTTGTTTGACTTAAACTTAAAGGTCATATTTGGTTGAGCAGAAAGGGCGTGTGTGTTCATCTTCAACCCCAAGAGACAAGCTCAAGTTTCTCATGAATGCCTTCAAATGTTTTTGTTGCAAGACTGTAAGCCAATAGACCCCATGGAAAATACATTTCAAGTTCTTAAATATTATTCTTTTAAAAAATTTTTTGTTAAATGTTGAGTGGAATTTTTTGAATCACTTTAAACAGCAATATCAAAAAGTATCAAAAGTTTTGCGGTGCATCCAGTTAATTTCTCGGCACACTACTGCATGGAGGCCAAGGCTTTAACTTTCTATTCAAAGAGCGTTTGAAGTCCTCTCCACGCCTGGAGCCAGCGCTGGTATGCAAATAATTGGACAACTGGTTCGCCCCCTTAAGTTTCGTGTTATATGTAAAAAAAAAAATATTTAAAAAAAAAAAAAAATTTCAAAAAAAAAAAAAAAAAAAAAAAAAAAAAAAATATTAAAAAAAAAAAAAAACATTACAAGAAAAAAAAAAAAAAAAAAAAAAGAAAGAAAAAAAGGAGCTATATACTAGCAGATGGTTATTTGTATTTTTCATAGGGAGTCCTAAGCCTAAGTTGTTTCCTGTACATGGGCGGTGGTTTCACGTCCGAATTTTATTATAGCATATCAACATCAGAGGCTATTCAGACATTTAAGTCTATAAGAGCCTATTTAGTTTACGCCTGTTGTGTATACGCTCAGAAAGAGGGAGCCCTATCTTTCAGACCCTTGTTGTATTGCATTACGGTCAGAAAGAGGGGATCTGTCTCTTGCAGACCCCTGCTTTAGATTTGCGTTCAGAATAGAAAGGAGCTGTATATTGCAGAGCCCTGTTGTATAACGAGAAAATTGGGGAGCTGTTCTTGCAAAGCCCTTGATGTGTTTTTGTGTTGTGGATGCAACAAGCAGTTTACCCAGAGTTTTAAATCATATATTTTTGGGTGAATAATTAAATGTAATCCAGAGGTAAAACATGTATAGGACTGTTGTGGGATTTGCCCATAAACTGAACGTCAGGTTCGAAAGAAAACTGTGAAAAGATAAGAACAAAAGTGGCTGGTAAAAAAACAACTGCAGTTTCACAGACACTTGACTTGCGAATCTAAGCTTGTGACATTCTAAGTTTGTGACATCTAAGTATGTGACATCTAAATCTAAGTATCCAATGGTTTTATAAACATCTGAAAACCAAGAATTGTAATGAAAAATAAATAACAAGACAGCCCTATGTCCACAAATTATTATGAAATCTTTATTTACAGCTTAGTATGTTTACTGTACTAAAAAAAAATGAAAACTGTAAGACATCAAGAAACAACACTACCGAAAAGATGAGTGCCCTGTAACTGTAAGCAATATGTCAAGACCGTTTGTATCACTACTGCACTTTGCTTTGGAAAAAAACATCAAACATCCAGAGAGGGAGGAACAGAGTGGACCACATTTAGATCTACAGATAAATGCTATACAAATACAAGTTGATTTTGTTCTTAAGATGTATATTGCATTGAACAAAATGACATACACTGGCGGGATTATTTACATTAAAAAAAAAAAACATATATCAATAGAGATGGCAAAACCAAAACAACAAGGAAAAATGTAAAAAAAGAATATTGGCTTTGATTGAATTAAGTACATTCAACATAAAATCTATATTTGACGCATGCTTTTTTTTTGTTAAGTACATTGTGAAATGGAGATTCATGCAAAACAAATCTTTGATCAATCATGTAAAACATCATGACTAGAAATAGAATCTTAGCAAAATCAATACAAATCAAATCAAAATACATGTTTCTGATGTTACCTCAGTTTTTAATATGTATGTAAATGTAAATATAAGAAAACAATTCTAATGAAGGGAGGTATAAAAAAAAGGTTATAAGCTGAATCTTGCAACTCTAACCACATCAACAACCTGACCAACAAAGTCTTTGATAGTTTGGGGGGATTGAAGGAATGACAAGAACAATAGATTTATATCAAGTATACAAATTCACACAAAGCTACTTCAGCAAGCTTCAATAGAAAAAGGGCCCATCACAGGATTTGTATCATTTTAAATGAAAGATACGCCAATATTTGATTCATTCATATTATGAGACTCAGTCGGTCATGGTATCAATCTGTTACCAACAGTCAAAATTGAAAAATACCTTTTTTTAAAAAAAAATGAGGTGAATGATCTTTGAACAAGAAATTAATGATTGACTTACTGAAGTTACTCTAAGTAACAATAGTGCTCCTCAAATTGTGGTCAGTGTCCGCGGTATGGCGCAATATTGGGTTGACATTTAATTTGGAACATATAGAAATCAGGGGAAAAACTGTACAATTGTATAAAATAGATCAGATAGATACTTGAGAATGTTTAAAAAGTTATAAAATAAATTTGGACCAAGGAAAACAAAAGCAAAGAAAATTGAAACTGTAGGAGGGTGAAAGGGGGGAGGGGGGAGGCACAGAACGCATGAGCACCCTGTCTGCAGAATATACGTTTTATAAAGATTGTCTATGCTCCCAATATTTGCTTTAATGAACAATTGCAATATTTTCAGGTATTTGCCTAAGTGTTTCTCCACCTTTGATTTGTATTATCTTTAGGCTACACAGCATTATCTTTTTTGTAAACAGAGAGATATCTCATGTCAAAATGAAGCAATATGAAAGGGTTTGATTATTTGAGTATATCAAAGGGGAATAGGATCAAAGGATCTCCATGCAGCATAATGAGTACATTTAGAAAATATCTTACTGAACATCTCCAAGAAGAATGCCATTGTGTGGTCCGGAAAAATGATGAATTTAAAATTTTCAAAGGGTTTTAATTTATTGTCCTGTTGAATACTATCGGCCATAGAAACAACAGCCAACAAAGTGGCATCACATTTAACTCCTCAAAGAAAAATATACTGGAAAAACCACACAGGAAGATTTTCCAAACAAAATTTGATCATAAAAAATGTTTTTTTTTAAGTATTTACTTATTGAATTTAGTTTTTTTATTATCAACTTGATGGTCATCAATTCACTTTAAAAAATGTTAATGAAAGGAAATGAAAATGATTTAGCAATTGAAAGATAATGACAATGACAGAAAACAATAAAGATATCAGAAAACTTTTAAGTAGATTGGATTTTTCACTTTAAAAAAATAAATAAATGAAACCCTTAGGGTTAGTGACCATGGTCAATGTATCACAAGTAATTTTATCATACACTCATAAAGTAGTTTTAACCTATCACTTCAGTTTATCCCTGTCAACATCGTCATCATAACACATTGGTGATAGAAGATGTACACCCCAGTACCGAGGCTTGTTTGTCATCCCATTTACTATGTCATGTCTTATTTATGTTTGTCATTCCATGTACTATATCACTAGTCTTCTTTACATTTGCATCCCATTTACTACACCATGTCTTATTTATGTTTGTCATTCCATGTACTATATCACTAGTCTTCTTTACATTTGCATCCCATTTACTACACCATGTGTTATTTATGTTTGTCATTCAATTTAATATATCACTAGTTTTCCTATTTACTAGTCTTATTTACCAGTAGATTTCACAACCTTATGGTTAAAGTGAAAAGATGGAGATAACCCATCATGCTCAGTTTGGATTCAAGTCAGGTTTTTTCCCCTATCCTCTTGGAATTATGATTTTTTTGTAGAAACACAAGTTTCATAAGTAGACCACAATGGAAAAATGTTAGTCGCCCAATGATGCACCATTTAAAATGATGGTAGGTCAAAGTAGTGAGTTAAACTCATAAAATTTTCGTTTAAAAGTTAGCTTAAAGTTTAGGTAAAATCTATCCTATAGAAGCGAGTACAGCGCTATACATCGTGATAATCACAAAAAAGACCTGAATTAATGGACCACTTCCATTCAAGCTAGAAACTTTGAGTTTGACAACATTCAGGTTGCTATCGCTAAGATCCATAGAAAAAGAATCAATTATAAAAATCCCCTTGGAATACCTCCTGGAGAGTGGGTGAGTGTCTTAAATATTTTTTTGTTAAACTGAAAAAGCACAGCCTTTTTAATCAGCCTAGAAACTTTGATTTTAAAAGTTTTTATACCAAAAAAAAAAATGTTAATTTCGGAAAAGGTGCTCAGGTGGACAAATTGCTAAAGGGGGTCAGGGGAATCATACATGGCTAAATCAGAAATCCTTTAGGATAAAGTCTTTCAGACATGACATCACTGGCATTCATTATAGGTGTGTTTTTTTCAAAACATCATTTGAAAATTCAATATATTTTTTTAACAATCTGCATGACAAAAGATTCTCAAACATTTGCCAACTTATTGCTGATGATAGGGAATGGGGATGTCCCTGAAACCAACAGGGAGCTTGAGTTTCCGAAGGAACTAGGCGACAAGGGGGGACTCTATGGAACAATGAATGTCAACAGTTGATCCTGACATCTGCAACATTCAGACAAAACCGTTAAGACTGGTTCTGTGAGAAAGCTATTCTCGCTGCTAGAAACGAAACCTTTAGCAGAAAAAACAATTCATTATTGTGCTTTTTCTCATCAGAACAAAGAACATATAAGATTGGCTGCAGGATCCAGTAGAGTGATGCAGTAAACTACTCTACTGAGCTGATCATCATTCCTTGACCCCCTCCTGGCAAGCGTCCGATCAACTACACTGAAGGTTGGTTCTGCCATCAAGTGTCTCAGAGACCTGAAACCTAGTGTTCTTGAACAGAACCATACTACAGGCCAACAAGCAATGGACAGGGTGATTGAGGTCAGAATAAAAACAGGTACCATGAAGATGGCAGTGTTTTCATTCCTTGGATCCCACCGGTGCCCTCGGACCACCCCATTCCTGTTTTGAAGAACTCGGTTACCTGGGAAACATTTCTTTGGGATGAAAATCCACAAATGACAGGGATTGATGTGAAATGGCCCTGCTTTTCTCAGGCCAGTTTTATGTGGGATGCTCCCGTGTTAATTCTTCAAATGATCTAGACCTGCTCACGCCCACAGTAAACATCTTGTCCAAAAAGTACTTCAGTGAACTTATCTCTTCCCATTTCTATTTATAATCGTTCTTTCTTTAATGGTATGGTCGATATAGCTCACTAAATGTTACAGGATGTAACATGACAGAAGAATAAAAATTGTTTAAGTATATTGCACTTAAAAAACAATACATCTTTGCTTCATTCATTTACAAAAGTCGATCGTAACCCCCACCACCAACCCCATTTTGAAGCAGAGATACTTTTGCTAGTTTCAAATAATTACAAAGAAATCATTTTAAAATTCTGGCTCTAGGGTCATCAACTTAATTCCCACTTTTCAAAGACCCTTTGTCTCCATACAAATGATAATGCAAAAAGCCCAAATAGCCCACCCCCCTATCCGTCAGTGCATAGTTAGTATGTGGATGTATTTTTCCATTGTGGTCAATATATGTTTGGCCTCTTTACAACAAAACAATTTTGCTTTTTTCCCTCCAAAAGACTAGCTATCACATTATCATTGGGATACAAGTTTTAGCACTCATTATTATATAGAAATTATAAAAACTTTAAAACGCCAGCCATTATGAGAAATGAGATTTCTTTGACAGTCTGTGAAGATTAATTGTTAAAGATCTATAGCAGTGCTTTAAGTGATTAGCAGAAATGTTTATAGATGCTCAATAAAAAATTAAAAAACCTAAGGTAAAGTATTTTTTTAAAATGGAACACATTTTTTTATAAATTATAAAGCTGAAAAAAAAAATGTATCCGTGATTGAAAAAGAGCTGCAAGCAGTAATATCACACATAAGACATAGATGGGCAAATACTAGGGTTATATAAGCTGAGACTGTGACCATTGCTGGACTCTTGTCTGGCCTCCTGAATTATTTATTAGGTCTTTTTCATCCTTTTAGGTGGGACACAGTACTGAGGAAAAAAGTGAGACAATATTCCTTTTTAAAATATTGACAGATGTTCACAGGCTTTGGGCTGTCACACCAATTGATGGGCTCTTAATTAGTGTAAACATTAAAATTGGTAGGAAATCAATTTGGTTTAAAATTTCTGTCACAACATTTATCAAAAGATAATTTGATGAATTTTCATACTGTCATTTTGGTTAATCCATAGGGAGTTTGCGAGTATCCTCTAGTATCACTAGAACATCAGGACCAAGTGAATGCGACAACATCCTTTACTTCTTTCCACTTACCTTTGAGTATATAATCTGTTAGAAGAATTGGAACTGTTGGACTGTCTTCATTGATGGCTTGCAGGACTTCAGAGAGCAATAATAAGTAGATAACACGATTTTAAATTTCTTTTAAAACAACATTAATACATATAAAACATGAGAACTAAATTCAGCTTTTGAAAATCAATTTTTGTTTTTAGGTTGTGAATAGCATTAGGATTCTACGATTAAATTTGTTGTACATCCAGCATCAAATATTCATAATTTTAGTGATCATTTCAGCTTTTTAAAAACACTAAGTACCATGAAAACACTAAATTATCCTCTGAAAAGAAAGTGCACATCAGAGTGGATGTTCTCACAAACTGCAGTTAAAGCAAGTTTATATTTTAAAACTCCCGACACAACAGCCCATTCTTATTAAATACACTGCCAGTGTTTAGCTAACTAATGAATCAATATGTGATTAGTAAAAAGTGTCTAAACATGTTCAGTAACTAATGAATAATGTTTGATCAATAAAGAGTGTCTAAACATGTCCAGTAACTAATGAATCAACATGTGAGCAGTAAAGAGTTGGTAAACATGTCTTACTTTTGATGTAAATTTGAAGTTGTTCAGAAGTTGGTGGTCCTTGGCATGGGTAGTATGGGATTGCAGTGGTTAAAAACTGTCACAATAAAAAAAAAGCAAATATCAAATAAGTTATCACATACTGGGGCTGGACAGCTAGATATTATTTTCAATTTTAAAAAGAGACATTCATATTTTGATAAGAATAGACTTGTTGCACAACTATTGATAAATGTAAAAATTAAATTTGAATTTCAATTCCCTTGAATTCTGTCATTTGTAATTGTACATTACTGGGTTGTCCAATCCTATGTTTCAAATGGCTTCAACCCTTATTTTGGACTAGAACTTGAATTGGATAAGTAAAAATCACCACTGGTACAAATAACTACTCTAATTGTAATATCCTGCGTCTTAAAATTATCCATAAGTTCTAGTCTTGTAATTAAAAAGTTTTAATGAGAGATAAAATACATCTTGAAAGCATTTCTCGTATCTCCAACATTGGTGAATTTTATAACTGAAGAAACAGGGATTAGACACAATGCACTTTCTGTTGCTTCTGCATCATATATGGTTGTATCATTTTTGTGTGCGAAATTCCTCTCAATATACTTAAGCAACTGAAGAGATTATCTTGTTAAATTAATTTATGTATACCCCGGAACTAGACGCTGTAACACCTTGTCCAAAATCAAATTATAACTGTGACTCTTCTAATTTTCCTATGAATTTTTTTTCAGCATATAAATTCTATGGCACTGAATTTCTGGGCCATATAAATCATCACATTTAGGGCACCAATGTCAATGTTACATTAACAAATTTACTTTTACTGGAAGACCTCAGCTAAAAACATTGCAAGTAAATTATCATGCTGAAGGACCTCAAATATACACTTTGCAACTAAATTATTATGCTGTAAGAACACAGATATACACATGGCAAATAAATTTTCATTCTGAAGGACCTCAGTAAATTATCATGCAAGGAAGGAAAACCTTAAATGAAACTCACATTTCCATTTTCAGGAGTGGCATTAGCATTGGGTGCAGCATTGGTTTTGGATTTCTTCTTCTTGCGGTCACTATGGCACTCACGCCTCTTCTTTTGTATTGTCAGCAGCAGTGAGATGAACTGGTTTTTCAATTCCTTGTCAAACTCAAGTTCGTCTCGCAAGGCCAGTTCCGACACCAGCATCTCCGAAAGCACCTTTGTGGTGGTCTCATATTCAACGACAAGTTCGTGGAGCTCGGTTCTCGACATTTCTTTCAAGTCTGGGAGAAAATAATTTGTTTAATGTTTGAGCCTTAAATGTATAAAACTAACATTACAATTTGCTTTGTTTAAAAAAAATTACTGTATGACTGAAAATAGAGGCAAGATAATACTATAAAAATCTGATTGATTATGATGGAAACTGGTTTAGGATTTGAACAATGAAAATTTTAAATCATGGTGAGATTTCAATCCAGGGCAAACCCTTGGAATTAGTGGGAGGAAAGGTGCCTGTTGCAGAGCCTGCTCTTGCGCTTATGAAAGTGGCTTACAGAATCAGGCTTGGCCGAACCTCAAGGAGCAGGTATAGCAAAGGGACTCATGCACTCAGTTCACTTCACATTACTTTTATCAACTGACATTTTTGACATAAGGCCAAGTTTATAAATTAGAAATAGAGATTTGCTTAACCACTTTTCTCTAAAATTAATGTATTAACCTTCTTTTGTGTATCCTGATAAAGTTGCTAATGTTTGCTTAATTTTAGTATAGGCCACATCCTCAGGGGCTTCTTGCATGGCATTGTAGAAGTCCTCCGCTGAAGGTTCCTGAAAGCATAAAAGAGTTTAATATTATTAAAAAACTAAACTTAAAGTTAAATGAGAGTAAATTGTCACACTCCCTCACCATTTTTGTTAATACACATAAATAAAATTGATATCAGCCATTAGAGTGCTTTAAACTTAGATATCTCATCATGCAACACTTTTGGAGAAGAGAAAACTTCTCTCTGTCACTCTTTCTCTCTTAAGGCAGGTTTAATTTTGTATAGCTGTACAACAGTCAGTGATTTGATATGGCACTTGTAGGGAAGTGTCTGGTAAATACTGAAATATATTGTCATTTTGATATCCTCTATAGGTGATGTGCATCAAAGATATTTATTCTACTGAGCCCACTGACAAGTGGTCCCGATATGTGACAAGTGGTCCCAATATGGTGCATACAATTTTTCTAATGAATAAGTCATTCATGTCACACTGTTATTAACAAACTAACCTTTAATGTTAAAAATAGAGGTTAACAAAAACTAAAATTGTGCCCATGAATGTTCTTAATGCAGGTGTCTTTCATGGTTATGTGTGAACATGCACTTGGCACAAGTACCTTCATCATGTCATCAATTTCACTGATAACTTCATCTGCTGTCAGAACTTTGTCTTCTTCCTCAGGATGCAAACTGCTTACAATTAGAGAATGCATGTCGAAGGCTTGTGCTAGGTCTTCATCATCAGAAAGATCCAGACTCAATGAGTGACAATCCTTTTTCAAAATGTAAAAAAAAAAAGATAGAAAAAGGGTTACAATATCGCAATAATTGTGATACAATTACAAAATAATTCCTCCTGTAATCAAATAACATGAAACTTATTTTTATGAATGAGATAAATTTATTGACATAATTAAACTATCAATTCTATTTTCAGCAGAGTTGTGCGTGCTTCTATTAACATTAAAGGACTTACGTTAGATTGCTCTCCTAAGTTGAGGACACGATTCTGGAGATTTCTTGCATACGACTTGGACCAATCAATGGGTAATATGTTACCAAAGTTTCCTGTGATTGTCCACCACATTCTGAAAGAAAGATTTAATGCAGAATGAATATTGTTTCTCGCAAAAAAAATTGTAATTGTCTCTACATCATGGCTGCCCAGCTGCATGACTTTTGGCAGCCATAACAAAAAGTACATGTTGCAAAAAGACATGGCTTTTAGGAAGATACAAGACTTGAGATAGTTTCTCTGAAGAGGCTGTATGGCAGCCAAAAGTATCAACAATAAAAAAAAACTGAGTGTGTGAAATCATGAGAAGGGCAACTATTTTAATTCAGTAGATTAAGTGAGTACACTTTTCCCCTTGCAGTACCGGTACTTAAATGGTTAATTGTCATACTTTGATGAATATATTACATATAATTAAAAGTTCTTATGTTTCCTTTTATTAAAAAATATTGTATTAACAGAGATGGGAGGTACAAAAATTTAAATTTTGCCAAAACATGTTTCACAAGTCAGGTTGATATAGTTATTATTGTCTTGTCTTTTCTTTCAAGCTTTAACATATCTTGTTCCACAATGTCCTTCACACTGCTTGAATGCAGTCCCTCATATAATATCCTTAATGTTGCAGATAGCTGATTAAGTTATTTCAATTTTGAAAAAAGACGTACACATTTTTTGAAGACTATATCAAAATCAGTGCACAAATAGAGATAAATGTTCTTAATGTTGAAATCCAATATTACTTTGAATTGAACAAATTGTGTGACCTCTTTTTAAGAACAATGGAGGGTTTGTATTATACAGATCTAAATCACCACAACCCCAAAAAGATTAAGTTAAACAGTACATTTAGTATTATGTTTAATTACAAATTTTTTGGTTAATTACTGCCAAACAACAAAACATTAAGAATGGATAATTTTATAGCATTATCTTTCTAAAATTTACTAAGTAACTGGCAGGCATAAAATAAATATTTTAAAGAATAATTATTTTAATGTTGCTTTTAAACTAATTACTCTCTTAACACTTTACATTTTTTAAAGTAAAATTAATAAAAGGCAAATACAAATTATATAATTCAATACTTAAAAGAGGTGTTAATTTTGAAAGAATTTTTTTAAAATTCAAAGCCTTGCTATGCCTTGACTGACAACGCCATTGTTAAAGAAATGTTAAATAAATATATCTGTAGAAAAGGAATCTATGTCTCCTGCAGTTAAAAAAGATATTAAAATGCACAAAATGAAAATGTATGACATCATTGAGTACAATGATGATGCAGGGGAAAAAATCAATAACTGGGGAGTGCAAACTGGTGACTCATTCAATAGCCTCAAAATGTGCTGGCATTGCAAAGCTCAAATGAGACTATAAAACTGTTCTTTCTATGATAGTTACAACATATTATTTTAAGGCATAGTTGTTTTGGTTGTTGGTATGTCAGTTTCTAAGGTTCCTAAAAAAAATTTCTCATTTAAAATGTTTCAGAAATTATTTTTATACATTTTTTTTCTTTAATAGATTCAATTTTTTAAAAATATTCAGATCAGATGTAGGAAGTAACAGTACATTCGTTATCCACAAATATCTGTGCAGAATCATAAATATACAATTTTGAAGAATTATATGATGTGATGATGTTTGTATTGACTCAACAAACACTGAAAACTCTTGAGTTACTGTTCTTTTTTAATTGTTTTCTGTACTCAGTTAACATCCAACCAGGGCAAAGCCTGAATTTTGGTGCTTCCACTCCAAAAGGTATACATTTATACCTATTTTTTTCAAGAATGCTGTATTTTTTTTAGGCCTATGTTTTTGGCACCTAGAGTCTACAACCACTTTGCCCTGTCTGTTGACTATTTGAGACTAGACTTGAAGAATGCATACAAATTCATTTCTGCCTTTCCACATCCATAACAGTTTAATTTTATTTATTTATATTCTACTTTGATTTCCAGTTGGTCTCTATTTATCCTTACCCCCCACCTACACAACCATCCTCTTAACTGATTTTGTCCAAGGTTCCATTATTTACAGTCACTGGTAAACTAAATCCCTCTTGACCAGTTTCAATGACAAATATCTTTTAATTTCAAAGCACCACCAAAAATAAAGAAAAAAAAAAATAAGTATGTGAGACGGACAACATTAGACAAAAGCCAATAAATATATCTGTCTACGAATTCACAAGAAGTAACAAACAAGTAAGGCTTTGAAAATGTTGATTCATTTGCAAACCTCGAGTTAAATCAGTCCGCCCCCAATGAAACTGACCAAAATAAGTGTTTTAAGTCAGATCTCCTGAAACATTTTTTTGTTGTTAGTTCGTTCTTTCTGTGATAGTTTATAAAACAAAATACCTTTTTTTCTGCTTTAAACCATTTCTGCCAATTTGTGACATGTTTTAATTATCATGAGGAAAATTACTTCATATTTTCAACTCAAAACATTCTAAATATGTTACATTGGGGAATGGCATCGGCGGGCAGTCGAGGGTGAGCTCTTAATGCCCTCCCGAGGCACCTCCACACAGTCTCCCTGACGCCGGACTGTGAAGCGGCATGCCAGGGCTTCCCCAAACCTGGACTATCCCCCCACCTGCTCAGATTTGTGGATGGAAGTTTTCCCCACCTCTGGACGTCCGGGCAACCTAAAATGCTGCGTTTAAAGCATTCGTAGCCAACTCTCCAAGGGAGTCGGGATGGTAATTTTATGCCCTAAAATCTTCCCAAAAAGCTAGTTTTGCTGAGGTAAGTTGAAGTAAATGGGAGGAGAATGTTAAAAGCCATTCTCCCAGTTCAGGTTATTATGCTTTGACTTTTTTCCAAAAATATGCTATTAATGTCAAGGCATTGAAAACATCTTTAACCCCTTGGGGACGGAGCCTTTTTGAAGTGTCAGTGCCAAGAAGACAGAGCATTTTTACAAGCTAAGCACTCATATTTCAAAATAAATTATATCAAAATAAATTTATTTCCTTTACATGTATAAAACTATATATATTCTTGTAGGAAATTGAATCAATTAATACCATCTTTATGAATGAAACTGAAATCTCAACATTTATGCAAATGAGCTGTCCTGATTTGCATAACTTATGCTGCATTTTTTTGTTACACTTAAAATAAACATGACTGGCTTGTATCATTTGAGTGAATTTTTTAATGGATGAAGCCTGAAAAAGTCCAAACACTAGTTTTTTGGGGGGGAAAGGCCCATGGAGGCCCTTCAGACACCTCTGGCGCATGGTTCTACTCCTTTTCCTGCCCCTGGCTACTTTTCGGTTGCAACAGACACTCACTATAACAGGCCCCCATTTCTGACCTAGGGACCTTTCTTGAGCTGGGCGTTACTAAGAAAGTTGTCTCCATACCTATTGGTCTCTCTAATATACATTTGAGTGATATTTTGTGTAAATAACAGCATAAAGTACTCAACTGTGTTACTTATGCTTTGAGACTTATTTATAGGTCCTATATTTTCTAAAAATTCATAGGGATCATCTCTAGCTAGTTCAGGACCCCTAATACTAATCCAAGAGTTCACAACATTATCATCCTTTTGATTGTCTTTATAAATTATTACTTCCCTGGTTGTTTTCATCATTGTCAGATTCACTGTTTAGTGTCGATGTCAAACATTTTGATATTTTACTATATTACTTGAACACAAAAAAAATTCCTGAACACAATAAAAGCTAGTAAACAAGCAAAGTAGGCTGCCATTAAAATAAGAATGTCTCATTGGCTGGTACAAAGGCCAATCAGCTAATCTCAAGGCTTGAATTATCTGGCTGATAATCAGCCATTTGTCTTTTTCCCTACTCGACAAGCCGTCTCTAGGGGGTTAAACTCAAAATGATCAAGTTAGTCAAGTTTTTAGTGTTGACCTTTCATAGAGATGTGACATCAAGCGCTTCACCTGCATCAATGAATGTTCTATGCCTCAGGTGTTAAATTGTCATAAAATTTTTTTTCATGAATAGGCATTTATAGACAGCACTATTATATAGGTCCTAATGAAGTGATTAGTGAATGAGTGAAAGAGTGGATCTCATGTTATGCACAATACGATCTCGTTTTTATAAGGTGGTTTTGAACAAGAAACTAAGAAATTTTTTAGGCTGGTGATGGGTAGGGCAAAATGCGCCCAATGCATTTTGGCAATGGGTATTATGCAAAGCGTCCTAGGCATAACTTTCTATGGGTAGAGCGCAATGCTTCCGTCCACAAATATTAAGGATGAATAATTGAATATAGCCTTAACAATGACACATTTTTTTATTAAATATAAATTTTTTTAAGTTTTATGGAAAAAATAAACATTACCCAACTTTAGTAGTTTTTGATCTATGAATTTTAAAAACGATGTGAAAATGTGAATTCGTTTGTACTTTTTTTTTAAACAGTATATTACATTTTAAAATGATAACAAGTAGTGTGGACTTCACACCCCATTTTCTGACAAAATTCTGATGATTGTAGTTTTATATAATACTGCATTTAGATTATTACCCGTAAAAAATGTTTCTTAAATAACTCGTTAATTTATGTTGTTTTTTTTATTTAAATTTTATTTACCAAAATACTCTTAAAAATGGGATCATCATTACAATAACAGAGTGCAGAGGTCAAGTGAATATCCTATGAACACCATGGTATTTGGTAAAAATAACCAGAGCCGATGAATGTTCATTATTCACTCAGTTTCATTGATGTTGACTGTTGAACTTTTTGTTTAACATATTATTATATGGAGATGGATCATTAAGATCATATTATTTTACTGCCAATCAACAAAACTTAGTGCTGGCTATGGCTCAGCTGGCTATGTCTCAGATATTGAATATGTGAGAACACCAAAGATAAAGAGAGAGGAGAACAATGCGCAGTCTCAGCTTCGCTTTTTTTGTTCATTTTGTCAGGAAGTGTTGATTGCTCTGCACATGCACATTGCCACTCACTATAACTAAAAAAAAATTGAGCTCTGAGAAGCCACAATTTTTAACTTGTTTCCATTTTTTTGGGGACCATGGTTCATGGAAAAGTGCCAGACTACGGAACACCATGTTAGGAAACACTGGTCTAACTTTAACTATATAAAGACTATTTGGCTAACCCTAATCCCACACAGTCATCATAGTTAGACCTGTTTGGTCTCAGATAACCACCACTGGTACACAGATAACCATCACTGGTTCACAGAAGTGAGTAGCCAGAGTATTGAGAGTAGTGCTGTAGAATGATCAACAGTAGACTGATCAGATGTATGGATTCGGATTAGTATACAGTATCATGTAGTGAATAGTCTATAGTATCAGATCTAAGATTAGTACTACAGCTGTACTGACTACAAAACATACAGTCATACAGGTACTTCAGATTACAGAGTCGCTAAGACTACACTTTCTCACTCACCTCTTCCAGACTTTTATTTGCTGTACCTTCATTCATATACTTAAGCTTTACAATAAGTTTCAAAATTAAATGTGTACTCACTGACAATCATTCATTATTTCTTCCTGTGATCTAATCTGTACAGGAGCGAACGTTTCCACTTCTTGCTCTAAATTATTGAAACATTTTGTGATTCTCTCATCAAATGAATTGACTAAATCCTCTAGAGATCCTGACACCAGCTCTCCGAAATTTGCACCTTCATCCCCATCAGGACGTTCCCTAGAGTTGGGTGTAAGATTGCACATTAATTTGTCTATGTTTCCCGTTTTAAATTCGTTAAAATCGCTCCACTCCTCATTCTCAAATGAAGCCAAAGGAGCTTCAAACTGTAGCTCCGCCATCTTGTGAACCCTTTACCTTATAAATTCATTCATCCTTGAACTATGACCGATGAGATGTAATGGCAGGTTTTCAAAAGCTGGAATAACTTTTTTTTTTTTATGTACCGAAAGGAAATATATGGTTATCACGCTCTAGCCGATTCATCCAGTACGGGGTAGGAGGGGTGGGCCTTTTATTGAGGACGGCATTTTTGGCCACCTGCATACTGATTTATATATGGATTAATAAGCCATTTGTCCAAAGTGCAGTGGCGTAACATTTCAAGTCTTAATTTTAATACCGTTCGTGACGGCGACGGGCCAACATTTATGCCGGGGAAGAGGGGGAGGGGGTGGCTGGCGAACCTTTGAAGATCCTATATTTTTCCCCTGGAAACATTGGAAAAAATAAGAAAAAAATGTATTTAATGGCCAAAAAAAAAAAAACCAAACAATCAGACGTCTTCAGGAAATTTTTACTGAAAGAATTGCAATGAGTATCATAATAATGTATGACAATCACAAACGACACTGAGACGCAAGTGCCAATGACACTTGTGTAAGCGTGGCGTCGGCAGCGCGTGAGTAAGGGACGTTGGGCTCTTGCCCACAACCTATAGTTATAGGGCCTATATTGATTATTAAATTATAATGAAACTCTGCCTTTGAAAAGCATTTGTTCGATCATATATTATAATACGGAATATGGAAGGAAGCCTCTTCAATCATGTACGACTCTGGGTGGCTAGGGTTAGTGTGCCACCCGGGGGGCGGGGCGCAAAAATCCCCCCCACCCCACGAAAAAATCTGCAGTTTTCAAAAACTGCCGTGAACTGATTGCTCAGCCCCCACCCTTCTTACGCTACATGATCCAAGCCCCCTGCAGAAGCGTAACTGAGGGTTTGGAGTCCGGAAATTAACATTTAGGCTACACCCCTCCCTCAAATATTCAGTATTAATTTCAATGTAAGCCCATTCTAGCACCCTGGGGCATTTATCCGTCCACCCCCAACCCCCAGCAAAGCATCTGCCCCCTTGAGTCTTGATGGACCTGAATATCCTTCCCACCTTGCCCTTACTAAGGATGTGTTGGGGTGGGTGGGGGGGGGGAGTCCCTTTTTTACAACCACTTATGTATGAGTGAATATGATACTCCTCTATGAATAATTTTTCCTCTATTAACAGAACCATTTCCAAGAGCAACTGCCCCACATATCTTCCTTCTTTTGACTAGTGGAACAAGTGAAGATTTGAGTTTTGACATTTTAACAAAAGTACCTATGTGTTCAAGATGGGGAGAGGGGGGAAGGGATTTCAGTAGTTAGTTTTGGCACATAAGACATGCTGTATTTCAGAGAAGGTTAACTCTATTTTTCAGTTGATCATTTTGTTAGTGAACGAGTTCTTCCTCTAACTACAACCCAAATGTTTAATATTTGCAAATGCTTTATTTTTAACCTGTTGTAATTTTCATCAGATGGCCATTTCAGCTTCCTAAGTCTTATTTGTGAATACAAATGCTCAAGACTTATGGATTATTTACCCACACCTCTTGTTTGTTTTTTTCTCAGAATGTAAGTGATATTAACAACAATGGCACAGATCTAGAATTGAAATAAGACTAGAAATCAGATATTTGACCTGTTATAGCACGCGTGGGCAAGCTATGGCTTGCGAGCCAACAGTGGGTTACGCCTCTATTTTTAAGGGCTTGCGCTCCCCTTAAAAAATAACATATAGGTACCGGTAATTAAAATAATCGTAAAAATGGGAAAGAAAAAATTAAAATGTAATTTTAAATTTTCAGTTGCACATGTCACTCCCAAATATATGGGGTTGTTTCGCTTTTCTGGTGAAATAATAAATTCCCTATGATTTGGGTACGTTGCATCCCACACCCCCCCCAAAACACTTTTTTTGTTCACCATTTATGGCTCCCATGTCACCGTTACTTATTGAATCTGGCTGGCAGATACAAAAATTTTTTATATAAGCTCTGTGAAACCTTTTCTTCACTTTATTGAACAATTCCAATAGATAGGGAGAATATATAACTTAACAGCAATTTTTTTAAAAATTATCTTTTAAATATCAAACCCTAAAGGGTCTTTCTTGTTTAATCTTTTAACATATCAAACCCTAAAGGGTCTTTCTTGTTAATCTTTTAACATATCAAACCCTAAAGGGTCTTTCTTGTTAATCTTTTAACATATCAAACCCTAAAGGGTCTTTCTTGTTAATCTTTTAACATATCAAACCCTAAAGGGTCTTTCTTGTTAACATATCAAACCCTAAAGGGTCTTCCTTGTTAACATATCAAACCCTAAAGGGTCTTTCTTGTTAACATATCAAACCCTAAAGGGTCTTTCTTGTTAACATATCAAACCCTAAAGGGTCTTTCTTGTTAACATATCAAACCCTAAAGGGTCTTTCTTGTTAACATATCAAACCCTAAAGGGTCTTTCTTGTTAACATATCAAACCCTAAAGGGTCTTTCTTGTTAACATATCAAACCCTAAAGGGTCTTTCTTGTTAACATATCAAACCCTAAAGGGTCTTTCTTGTTAACATATCAAACCCTAAAGGGTCTTTCTTGTTAACATATCAAACCCTAAAGGGTCTTTCTTGTTAACATATCAAACCCTAAAGGGTCTTTCTTGTTAACATATCAAACCCTAAAGGGTCTTTCTTGTTAACATATCAAACTCTAAAGGGTCTTTCTTGTTAACATATAAAACCCTAAAGGGTCTTTCTTGTTAGAGAACTTTAAAACATTCCCTTTTTTTCTTCACACATGTCTGTAGACTGTATTTTAAGCATTCTCCTGGTTTCCCTAGCCTCAGATAACCAACCTCGATGAACCAGGTAGGCCCACCAACTTTAGGAACTGCTGTACATTGAGACTCACTGTTGACCAAAACTTTATTTTGAAAAAGGGAGGCAGAAATGTAACATTTATTTAAGTAAATCATTTATCATTCTAATGCTCGGTAAACAAATAATTTAACAAAAAATCTATAATATGAGATCCCTTTATTCTCTGTCAATACACAGTGACTTTCTTTCATAGCAATTATTTAAATTTAAGCATAAAATCATTGCAGCACACCTTTTATCAAAGATTTTTAAAACAAAGTGATTGTCAAATGTATGTGAATTTATAAAAACTTCATTTAACATGTATGTGACCAATAAGAGAACAAAACAGAACCGGTAAAAATGTGCTTCTGTTCACTATAAATAATAAAGAGTAAAATTGGTAATTGTTTAAAATCTTGACTTTATGGTTTTGAAAATGTGAAGTAAAAATAAAATAAAAAGACATAGATTTTTAGTGGGCAAATACAGAGCAAATACAGAAGATAATGCCAGATTGACAAATAAACAAAATTCTTTTTACAAAAAAATTCCAAACATAATTTAAAAACTATTTTCTCCGCCAAACTGTTGCGTGTGCTACTGTCCACTGGTTTTTTCTTGCAGTTTCTCTAATGAAGAAAGGCATATTAACCTCTTCCAACAAGTCAAAATCTTGACCCAGTTCCTTTTGGAGTGTCTGAAATCCTGTGACAGCGTCACCTGCTTGATTTATGAAGCCTCCCAACCAGAGCTCCTAAAAGCATGGATTTAATTTTAAACAAATTAATTACATGAAACTATAGTTTGTACTACAGGGAAAAAATGGAAAATTTGTTATAACTCATTCTCTTTTCATTTAAATATAAAAAAAAATTTGCAGAAAGTATATACCTTTTTTTAAATTCAATATATTGCAAGAGCTTAAAAGCATATGCTTTCACAGTGATAAATTAAAACCTTTGACCTTTGCAGTGAAATCTGTAAGCCATGTGTATGGTGCTGTGATAACTAGAATGGACCCTGGGTGAGGTAAAAGCAACCGCAATCTGTCCAGGAAGTCTTTTGGATGATGAAGCCGACAAATGAGATTGGCTGCCAGCACCACTCCGAACTGACCCAGAGATGACTTCAGGCAGCACGCATCACCTTGTTCAAACGTTACCTTTGTCCTATTCTAGATGAAAACTTTTAAATTAGTTCCGATCAAACTACTTAACTTATATGTTAATTTGGTACCATACATTTTTAATTTTTTTTCAAAGAAACCATTTAGTAAATTAATACTGGTACTCTTCAAATATGTAACGAACTGAATGTTTTTCATTTATAAATGTGAAGTTGGCCTATTGATAACTTCTAAGGTTGAAATGTCTTACTTTATCAGAAAATACAAAACAAAATATGAATAGCCACATTTCTTAAAATACTATATTAAGTCACATTTTCAATTTACTTGCAGAGAGTGAGAAAATTGTGTTCAAATTGTAAATCACTATTGAATGGACAAACTAAAATAAAATATCTGATACACATATTATGACTGTAAATGAGTAAGCTAGGATGAATTTTGATAACAATCTTAATTTACTCACAATATCCTTTGGAACCTCTGCTATTTCTTCTGTAAATATATCTCCCTCTTGGACTAAACTGTATTTTAACTGTCCTTCTGACTTAAGCACATTAGCAGCATTAACAAATGCTTGACTGTAGTCAATTCCTATAACCTGTTCTACACCTCTTGTAAGTTCAAATGAAGATCTACCGACAGCACAGCCAATGTCCAGTGCTCTGTTAGGTATTCCCTCCTGTAAAATAAAATAATGAAATAAAAATTTATTACATTCATGGACAATAAAATAAATTTGTTAATAGATTTTATTAAAATGTAAAAATTTGACTAATTATACAAAAATATCACCATTAGATGGGCTTGCCGTAAGCTTTTTGGAAAAAAAAAACGTATCATTCTATATTTCTGTATCTATTAGAAGCGGATTTATGAATTTTTGTTGGAATTTTCAAGTGGCTTTTATAACCTATGTATTAATAATTTACACCGAAACTTGTGACTTATGTTCGGCTATCACTGAAATATTTTGTTCATAACTTTTATCTCATTAAAGCTATTGGAACCAAATTTTCATGAAATATTTACAATGGTATATGTTCTTCACAATGCATAAGAAATACACAACAAAATGATCAAGACCAATTAATTGGATAAAGATGATTTGTTTAATGAAATTAAGATATATAGGCTATATATTTTTTTTTATGTTTGAGGATTTCTTCTATTGTCACTTATCGTCCTTATGCCTTAAATATGAATTACAATGCTCACTTAAAATTAATTATATTGATTTCAAATTTCATGCTGCTAGAGTTGGGGAATTATATTTAACAAGTAAAAAAGTAACAAAGTCAAAAACAATTTGTGCAATAGGCTATAGGCCTACATTTTTAATTATTAATTGTAAAGAAATCTGATGATTTCTAATGCCATTTATATTTAAAGAAATTATACTGAATTGTTTAAAAAAATTTTGCTGACTCACACTCTCACTGTTTGAGCCTGGCAATTTATGAAATACTTCAAATAAATTTTAAAAATTGTTTTTTTAAGTATATAAAAAAATAGTAATAGTATAGCCATACTATAGACTATAGTATGTGAAATTTATAAGGCCCTTCTGATTTAACTTATTAAATTAATTAGCCTATTAATTAATTTAAATCCAAATGAAACTGCTATGTACTTGTAGCAACTTGTAGGGCAGGCTTTGCTTACACTTTACACAATACTTCTAGCTCTAGTACTAGTGGTAGGCCTACTATTAAGGGGTATAAGTCAAGTGTCATTGTCAGTACGACTTAGTCAAAATTAAATTTAAATAATAAATGGGAAATTTTTTTCAATTTTGGCTAGGCTACACAAGCTCACAAAGAATTTGATTTGAAAAAAAAATTGTTTAATGATCAATGACCAATGATAATGAATTAATAAACCTGACCCTAGGTTGATAATATTTCAAGCATAAATCTGCACATCTTTTCGGAAAGTCAAGCGAATCTTTCGGTCCGAACTGAAATGGAAGCAACTGGTCTGGCGTGCCAAAGTGAAACACAAGATACTCGCTGAGAAGTTTCTTTGACTCATAAACATCGGACGCAGCTGACTTGGACAATGGCGCGGGGTATTTACTCCGATATACAGCATAAGCAGCAATGCCGGTAGATAAACCTATAGCTGAGATAGCTAAATATTTATGGTCAATTCCAAATACGTGCGCCATATTGAAGTTTTTCTGTTCGCTGTTCGTTTTTCTTTAATTCACTGTTCAGAGCATGACCGGTGACGGCGGCGATAAGACAACTGGTCATCATTACGCACGCTATTTCGTTTCCTTGGATGCGACTTTTTAATGCATCCGCAAACTAAAATATTTACCGCTACTACAATACTGCATAAAATCATATTGGGCATGCATTACGTTGGATATTTTATAAATTTATATAGTAGAGCTTTATTTCATCAGGGCCGGGCCAATTGAGCGCCGGATAAGACCAGCCTAAGCATAGTTAATAAGATGGCCCGTGACTGTGACAATAATAGAGGCCTTAAACTCATTTAATTTATTTAAACACTTCGCTCCCCTCAAACCCCTCCCCCATTTTTTAATGCTCGCGGAGTTGGTCTGACAAAAATTTGTCCGGAGTGAAGTGGGAGCGGAGCTTGGCTTTGCTTTAAAAAAAAAAAAACATGCTCCAACTCCCTGGTAAAATATATCGTTGCAACTTTTACTTTTATATACAGTTTAGACAAGTTTATTCAGGAGAGGTACATCTAAAGACGTAAGCATACAGTTGACAAGGGTGTTCGCCAAATCCTATTGGGGGGGGGGGGGGGGGANCAAAAGATTTCAATACAATATTATAATTTTGCAATTCATGTCTAATATTAATAGGGCCGGCGCCAGGCGTGGCAAATGGGGCGACCGCGCAAGGTCCCGCGCTTGGGGGGGGGGGGGCAAGCGTCAGCCTTATACTATTATATAGCATTAATATAGCCAGGCTGTGCTTACTGGTAGTTTGTAAATTCCAGTCAACACAATGTTCGGAGGTACAGGAAAGTCAGATGATCAGTCTGACATTGGCCCTTGTCAGCCCTCAGAGTTCAGTCGCGTGAAGACACCAAAATGAAGCCACTTGTCTCGCAGACTACGCGCTGTAGATTTTTTTTAAACTTTTGCTTACCATGGTCTCGTGGTATGACGTCCTGTTTGCTGTCAACAAGATCTCGCAGACCTCGGCTATGCAACTCGGTGTAACCATTAGGCCGACACGAGCGACACATGAAGGGTGTGTGGAAGGGCGGGGGGTTCGGTCACTTATTTTATTTATATTTAGGGGCGTTTTCGGCCAAACGTAGAATTTTTGTCATGGAAGGGGGTGGCAAAAATCTTGGCCCTTCCTGGGCGGCACTAACACTAGCTACGCCACTGTGTTCAATTTCTAATTCACCCATTTACCAAATGCATAGAAAAAGGATGTGCATCAGTAATGACATGTGCAATGAAAATTGCACCAGAAATCAATTTCGAGCCGGTGTTTGAAGTACGTCGAAATAGGTGAAGAAAGATTGCTTGTATGAGTAGGAATCTTATACAGACTAGTCGTGAACAACTGACGCCTCAAGTACTGTACAGGACAGAGTATTTCTTGTGGTTAGTAGTCATGGCCGCCCGCATGCAGAACACTTTCTAGAGGGGGGGGGGGGCAAAAATAGGGTTAATTTCCCGGGGGGGGGGCAAAAAAAA